GTTGAAGATTATGTATCAGGATTTTTCAGCACTGATTTGTGGAGAGACAATTACGAGCAGTCCATACATCCAATGAGAGGCCCAAAATTCTGGATGACATCAACGTATCGTTTGGTAACAGCACCACCAGAGCCTATACAACTTGGGAAGAAAAAGAAAAATAGAAAGAAGAAGTATCAAAGGATTAAAGGAAAACACGAGTCACCAAAGAAGAAAACAATAAAAGAAACACTTGGAAGAAAGGGACGTATTATACGTTGTTCGTCTTGCCGTGAAACTGGCCATAATGCAGCTGGGTGTATGAAATATCCAAGAGAAAAGAAAAAGAGACAAAGAACTACTGAGGTAAAATCCACTTTTTTTCAATTCGTTTCTGGTTCGTTTAGTAAATTGTTTGTGTTTATTTTTCAGGTCGGGTCATCATCGTCTCAAGTACCAGATATAGTATCTCTCACGCAACCATCACAAACAAGCTCCGACATGGTGGTTCATGAGTGAATTTAATAAGTACTATGAACGTGTTCCTTTAGTTTAGTTTTGCATGAATGACATTATTTGGAGTTAATTTTATTCTGGTGATATTTTCTTTGTTTTTTGTAAACATGAGCTTTAATTCTCTTTTTCTTTCAATTAAGTTGTTGACCAAAAAAACTATTAGATTCCTTTTGTTTTGCAATGCAAAAACAACTACTTAGAATCACTTGTTGGCGTTCAAAAATTATAATTATATATATTCTGGGTTTATTGATACAATATAAACTCCAAGGATTGGAGTTCTTTATATATTACGAAGAAGAAGAGTTAAGAAAATTGTATGGGATTAACGTTTTTTGGTTTATTAAACGCAGTCGTGATATTTAAAAAACGCTATTACCGGTTTAGTATGTGTAACCACACTTCATAGTCGCAGTGTTGCAATTGAATGATAATATTTAGTTTGTGATGTTTAATAGAGAAATAAATTATTGATGGTGTTTAGAAAAGAGGCAAAAAGTACATGGTGTATATCAAAGAAGCAGTATAGTTGAGGTAGCTAAGAAGAGTCGACCCGTTTACAAGTAGATAAGTTGGTTTTTTTTTTTTACTTCTTGCGTGTTTGTTTGTTACCTTGTCTTGAGGATTAGAGAAGCTAACTTGGTTTTAAGCTTAGAAGCTCTATTAAATTTGACCTGAGGTCATGGAATAAGAAAGATTACCTCTTTCTTAGTTTATGTGAACCTTCAATATCTCATCTTTTTAGTTTGATTATCTTGGAACTTTGAGAACGTATTCTTTGAATTAGTTTAGGAGCTCAATATCTCTTACAATCACAGAAATGTTACATTAATTAGTATAGGAGGGAGAGTTTTATATGTACAAGATGTGGACTAACAAGAATAATTTATAGAGTGGGATGTGTGTTTTGGAGACGAGAGGTGAGAGCTCCAAAGGTTTCTTCACTGCAGGGGATTGTTTGTTTACTCATTGGGTGATCAAACCCAAATTCATCCTCTGCCTTTCTTAGTAGATCATGAAACGATGGTTGGCTCAAGAACGATATTGGACTCACATGTCTCTTCTTTTGGCTTTCCCCTACGTACATTGCAAAGTATCCATTTGGATTTTGGAACATCAGTAGAACTTTGAGGTTGCAAACAGTTTCGCTTGCCGGAAGAATTGCACTGATTGCAGCATACGAGGAACTCCAAAAGCCATGGACTGTTTGATGGGTATGTGTTATCTTTTTCCTTTTTTTATTTTGTATTTAGAGATGATTGCAGAGAGAAAGATCTTCCTGTTTCCTGAAAAAGATATGAGAACTTGAGAAGTTCTTGTGTGGTTTGAGGTCTTGGGAACTTCTTTTTACAGATTTATACCACTTTAAGATAACTAATCTGTCTTTTCGGACTCATAAAAAGTGCAGCCAATATGTACGGTTTTTCAAGTCTTGCCCAACATTTTGATCTCATAAGGCCCCATCTGATGGTAGGGGTTGGATGAAGTAGCTGACGTTCTTGCAGAGATATATCCTCATGGATGTGACAGCCTGACAGGTCAGTCACACTTACATTTCAATCAAATTTAACTTTCCATCCCAAGATTACGTCCTTTGAACATGAATGTGTCATTCTTGGTCTCTTGGTAGGCAACTTAAGGTCCCGCCACATAATTAAGAAACCAAACCTGCTAATGTATTATTATAGACAAGATAAGGTTGCAATATCTCATTTTTCCTCTTTATTAATTATAAAGACACTGAGAAAACAAACCCTTGTGAAGTGCATCAAATTTTCATTAGCTTAGCTTTCATTGTTTCTCATCTATCTATCTGGAAAACAAAACCATGTGAAACTATGTTCTTGTATGTCCCATGCTTGTAGACCACAGTTTCATTGGTTGTAGGGTGGTTTTAACTCCTTCATTGATCTATATATACATCCGGAAACAGAACCAAGGCTTTATATTACCAAGTAGTAAACAAAATCCAAGGCTTGGTTCGGAGCATTCAACTTGTTATCGTTAATCCATCTTCAGTCTACATTTTCAGAGAGTAAATATGGCTTTGGTGAGAAGTTTCTTGGGTGCAAAGAAGATTCTGAGCCGCTCTGTAACAGCTACAACACCAAAAGGGTTTCTTGCAGTGTATGTTGGTGAGGACCAGGTCCAGAAGAAGAGATATATGGTGCCACTCTCATACTTGAACCAGCCTTCATTTCATGCTCTTCTCAGTAAATCAGAGGAAGTGTTTGGGTTCGACCATCCGATGGGCGGCTTAACGATCCCTTGTCCTGAAGATGCCTTCATCTCTGTAACTTCTGCGCTACAGGGAAGATGATCCGAAAAGAAAATAGATCTAACATTATTTAGCTCGAGTTAGAGATATAATTTATTCAGTGTAAACATATCAACCTTTTTCCTCAAAGAAAAGAGTTGTTCAAGTAGTTACAGTACTCAAATGTGAAATGCCATTTTTTGCGTGTGAGAAACAATGGTGTTAATGCGAATTGCAGAAAGTTTTCTAAAAGCTTCATCATGCTGTCGTATTTCATTATATATAATGTATATATCTCGAGGATTTGCTTATATCTTCACTAAAAGTTTCTCTTCTTCTGTTAATTTAACTCAATCTTAAGATTGTGATTTCAGTTATCTCACTACACAAAAATACAAAAACCTAGAAGATAGAACCAGAGCAGTTCTATCCTGTAAATCTCAGTTTAATGCCCGGTCCTCTTTTGCTATAGCGTTCTGCTGTGTAAAACACTAAAAATGTAACCACAAAAACCATGTGTACTAGACTATTGTGCTTTAAAATTGTAACCACAAAAACCACTCTAGGTGATTTGCAATGAAAACATGTGTACGACTATTGTGCTTTACAATTTTCATGCTATAAACTTTGTTTTGCTTTCCCATCAGCGAATTCTTCATCTACTTCACTCTCATAACTCAGTATGGCACCAAAGGTTTCGTGTTGCTGAGCTCATCTTCATCAGTCTCCTCATCATAAGGCACGAGAGGTTTCGGTTTGGCCTCTTCAGTCTCGTCACTCTCAGAAATACAATATGGCACCAGAGGCCTCGTGTTGCTGAGCTCATCTTCATCGGTCTCCTCATCATAAGGCACGAGAGGTTTTGGTTTGGCCTCTTCAGTCTCGTCACTCTCAGAAATACAATATGGCACCAGAGGCCTCGTGTTGCTGAGCTCATCTTCATCAGTCTCCTCATCATAAGGCACGAGAGGTTTCGGTTTGGCCTCTTCAGTCTCGTCACTTTCAGAAATACAATATGGCACCAGAGGCCTCGTGTTGCTGAGCTCATCTTCATCAGTCTCTTCATCATAAGGCACGAGAGGTTTCGGTTTGTCCTCTCCATCTTCAGGATCAGGAATCTTAGGCTTGCTCTTGACGTTGATTGTAAAACGAGGGGTCATATTGCTTTTCAACCGTATAAGACTTTCTTTCTCAAGAGCACTGTTGACGATTTGATGCGAAATCTGAAACATAAAGAAAATGGCTAAATTAAGAAACAAGCAAAACGTAACAATGAGATAAACTACCACGAATCAAAACACAAAGCAGATTACCACATGAGGTCGTGATTCAGTCTTTTTGGGCTTATTCTTTATTGCAAAGCTAGATTGCTTTTTTGATGCTTCTAGTGCATTGACCTCTGCTTTGAATGATCTCACAAGCTCTTCCTCATCAACATTGTCAACATACTCAAGATACTGAATATCATCAAAATTATCCTCATCTTCTTCATCATCACTCCCACCTTCGTAACCCAAACCAGCCCTCTTCTTACGCACCATACCAGTTAATGGATATTTCCTCCCTTCACCTTTGGGACCTAATCCTCCTTTGATGGGGTCGAAGCCAAGCGAGTCCATGATCGCATTTGCTTCCTTCGAAAATCTCTTAGCGATCACCTTCCAGCGTTCTTTATTCAAGAGATTCGTAAACACATAAATCAAGAATTTTGTTCTTAGATTCGAACTAACAGCCTTCTAAAAGAACACACATTAAAGAAAGTATTCACTTACCAATCTCTTTCTGATCTTTCTTGCTTTGATCTTTCTCATTCTGTTTCACCATGGTTGCAGAAGATTCACGCAGGAGGAGTAAGCAATTGATGAAAGAAAAAGAAATCGGAGGTTAGCCAAGAAGATGAAGAAGAAGATGAAGAAGAAGATGAAACGAGAGAGGAAGAAGAAGAAGAAGATGAAACGAGAGAGGAAGAAGAAAGCTAACAGAAGAAAAAGTGAGCGCCTTTGTTACGAAACAAAAAATTGAATCCAAGATGATATTAAGCTATATGAATATGGTTAAATCCGGTTTACCCTATTCTGCATTTTATTTGTAATGTCGGTGACTATTGCGCGGTTCTTAGAAAAAAACAAATTCAAAAACGTTCGGGAAACTCAGATTCTAAACTTAAGCAAGAAGGCCTGGCCCGGAGCTAAAGCCCAACAAAGGCTTTAGGCAGGAACAGAACATTATAAGTTTAGGGCCAATAAAATATTGAAACTTCATTTAGTTTAGTGGTTTAGTCCAAGCTTTGTTAGAAATTGGTATTCAGTATTCACAATAAAACAGAGTTTAACACTACTTCCTTCTTGGTGTAAATCTTATCCCTCGATTTAATACAAATTTGGTGTTTTACTTTTTAATACAAATCAACTTTTATTTTTGGCTTTACCTAATTTTACTATTCCATAACAAAATGAAATAATCAATCTAGTCGAATTCTGTTTACTAGAAGAAACATATCTAAGAAAAGGATCTACATACATTATTCAATTGATACATTAAATTTTAAATACATACAATATATAGATTTATGTATAATCCGTCTTTTTGTATAACTAAGGAAATTAAACTTAAAAATACATAAATCTGACTTTTAAAAGATTGATTGGTGGCAACTTTTTAAGCATTTAGCTTTATAATCAAGAATTTTATTCATAGACTATATTAATAGAGATTATAATCATTGACTCATCTTTCCACAATTGTTTACTTTACAAGTAACAAAAGGGGTTTGGTTTTATCTGATATCCTTCTTTATGTACAACTCTCTTCCTTTTGGCAGTATCGTTTAGACTTTGACGGCAGTGACAATCAAACAGAGCTCAAAACGGGTGCACTCTGTTGCATTGTGGCCTCAAGGCCATTGGTTACTACCAAATCATCACCACCCCGCACCGGAAGGGATATTCCTTCATTGAGTCAAGATGATACCCTGCAATGGCCGACTAGTTTCAGCTTCTCACCTGCTGGATATACTAGAGATGGTTTGGACCAAGATATGAGCGATGAGGGTCACGGTTTTGAATTGTACTCAAGCAGCAGTAGACAGAGAAAAAGTCTGGAGTTCAGATTTCAGCAATCGCCAAGATGGGCTTCAACATCGTCTGCTTCTGGTGGGAATGAACAGAAACCCTGCATTGTTAATAGCGTACCAACAAGACCAACTAGCTCAAATCCTCAATGCTCGAAAGAGGTAAGTTATTTTTCTTTACATTTCCAATATTATTCATGATTTCATCTTTGGCTGAACCTTGTAGCTCTTGCTATGACTGTGCCTCAGGAGAATGGTTTTGATAGAGAAAGTACAGCCATCTCAACGAGTTTTAGGTCTTTACTGTCTCTCTCTGAGTCGTCTGTCCCATGGGAGACTCCAAGCAAGCAGCCTTTTAACCTTCCTCACTGCTCTTACTCTCAAGTCTTCTGCAACCCGGTTTCAGATATAGAGAATCCTGAACCTGATAATAACCAAGACGACTTATCCACAAATCCTGACTCCAGTCTTCTGATGTCCATGAGAAACCATCAAGTCTCAGCGGTAGATGAAGCATCAACAAACTCAAATAGCAATGACATGATGCTGGATGTAGAAAGATCCACTCAAACAGAAGTCGAAAACCCAAAATCCAAGGAACCAGATTCACCAACATAACATAGATGCGGGGTTTGCAAGAAGCTTTTATCTCAGAAATCTCCATGGTGCCCATACAAGATACTGAGATCCAGAGACATGCCAGCAGCTGGTGTTTTCCCCTGCCATCACGTCTACCATTTTGAATGTCTAGATAAAGTGACTCCAACGGCTCAAACCCGAGACCCACTTTGTCCTGTTTGCTCAAACACCATCGGAACAATGGAGCAGCCGCTGATAGCCCCTGAAACATTGCAAATGGCCCTGAGATCTCTAAGAAGAAGCCACACAGCTCTAAGGTCAGAGACAGTAACGCCAACTTGCAACAACAACAATCAAAGAAGACACATTAAGAGAAGAAGTCAGAGATGGGAAAAAATCAGCTGCTGTCTGAATATAAGCTTCTTATCTTCCTAGAATCTAAACATGACTTGATTTTATTAGGTTCTTCTATATAACTCTTTACTTGCATCTAATCGTTATTTTAACCTCTGAGAGTGTTTAGGAAACTATAAACAGAAGCAATAGACTTTGTACTCTGTATTGCAGGCTACAAAGAATTACAAATTACAAGTTAATTAGGAACAACAAGTATTTGTAATCATCTGGCTGGTAAGAACAAAACAAAGGGAAAAAAGAAAAATATATATATATAATTTCTCAAATCGAGATTGAAAGAAACAGCAATGAAGAAGTTTTGAAAACTTAATATACCAGAATCCACAGATTCGGATCATCAGTGGGACGGACCAAAAACAAAACAAGAAGAAACCTTGAAATCAAATTTAAAAACTTTCAAAAACACATATGTATTGTTGGGGTTGATAAAGCTCGCAGTAGCCATCACAGCGCCGAGTAAATCGTACGCTCAGGCTGCAAGCAGTCTTTATCGCAGAAAACAAAGGGCAAATGACAATTAGGCAATTCGAAGCTAACCCGTAACCGGAGCAGCCGACCATACCTTCCAAAAGGAAGGGTACTGGGGTTGCTCTTTGGCCGGAGAAGATCTAAAACCCTAACGATTAACCCTTTTTCTCAGCTCAGATAAGATCAAGTAGTTTTGAAGTTCATTGTAGCGTAGTTGCTCGAGTTTTATAATGCTTTTACCCTAATCCACTAAATTACTGAACTAACTACCCTCGTAGAAAGAGCAAATATAAATCTGTGCCAAAACTGTGCAATTATTATTAAGAAACCTCACAGGTCCTGGAAACAACAAATATAAATCCTTATATTTATAAAATAGGAGTATTTACACCTATTTTAAATATAAATCCTCTCAAAGAAAAGATTGACTTACAGGAAAAAATGATGGAAAAGAAGAAGAACAAAAGAGAGACTTGTGCTGTGTGTGGTTTACAGAGGATAAGTTGTAGACTTTTGCATTTCATTATTCTTTTGCGCATGTAGTGCCTGAGACAAATGGACTGCTGCTCGGTATAGAGATGACGCGAGCTGTGCCCATGCCGGTTCAGTACCACCTGCAAACATTCCACCAAAGGAAGATGCAGCATTCAAAGTTATTGACAGAAACCAAGATAACATCATATGAAACATCGGGATTCATTCTTCTCGTGATTGAGAGTGATCAAAAGTAGTGAGTGAGGAGGAGAAGAAGAACTCAAACCTGCTAGTCCAGCACAGGCTGATGAAAGAACTATCAACTATGACAGGTGGTGCCTGCATCAATACAGAAATGAAGAAACATCAATTGACTAAACAATTTACTGGTTTCTTTACAGGACGGTTTATGTATGAAACAATCACGAATTATGAAAAGAAGAGAGCATAAGATTTCTGTATCTTTGTTGATAACTTACCCCAACAAGAAAATGTAACCACATGGGTCCTTTTATCCACTTGCGGAGAATGGCATTGCTGTTTGCACCAAAAGAGCATTAAAATGAGTTACAAATAGATAGATGCAAACTCTTTTTCGAGCAAGCTTTAAATCTAACTGCTACCACTCTTAACTAAAACATAGCTAGAAAACAAATACTGATAAAAGAATGTCGACTGTTACAGCAAGTTCAACATAATCTAGACAACCGAGAATCAAATGCACTCAGAACAGACTAGGAAAACAATAGTAGCTTTTTAAACATTCTGACACACTGCCACCACTCTTTGTTTCTTCAAGTCATACAAAATCATAACTTGCGCAAATTAGAGGGTGAAGTTGGTTATACAGGCAGACACCAATATAAGAAACCAATCTCAGAGAATTAAAAGCAATAATCACAAGAGTATAACAACTGAGATAACAATCAATGAGGGTTTAAAGTCAAGAGAAACTCTCGTACCATGGTTAAATCCAATAAATGCACTTGCAGTACCACCAACTGCTGATCCAATCTAGAAACATCAAAAGTAGAGCTTTTTAAGCTAAAAGATCTGAATATGTCTTCAAGAGATTCAAACATCATGAAAGAGACATACCATAGAAAAGCTATCCCTGATGAACGGAGCCACGGTCCATTCACTGGTTTCCTGAAATCAATCACCTTCCAATTCTGTAAAAGAACTAACTTTGCTTTGTTTATGAAAAATCAACTCTTTTCCTCTGCTGTAGCAATCTGTGTATGAAAAAAATTCATGCTAGATGGGGAAAAAATACCAAATTTTTCGTAAGAGGGCCTGCGCAATGATGGCATCTGATTTCGATCTCATGCCCAGAATCATTCATTTTCTTCGCAAGATGAAGCAGAGCTCGAGAAACCCAAATCGGAACTTTCCTTTGTTTCTTCTCTTCTGTGTTTTGGGTCGTAGGGTTTATACTCTCGTCACTATTGCCTTGTTCCTCAGTTCGACAAAGAAAGAGAACCCACCGATCACCTGCGGCCACAGCTTCATATCAATAGGATCTAATCAGTCGACACGTCATCTTAAACAAACCGAGCACGTACCGGTGTCCAACCTTGATCTGTGGAGAAATTTCAAATTAGATAAAGAATCTTTTGGACCGGTCACAGAACCGGTTTATTCTGTTCCATCTATTTTTAGGTGAAAGGTGTTAAGTTTTTTTGAGCTTATCCAAAGTTCTTTTCTTTTAATCAATGGGGAATCTTACTTCTCCATGTTCCCAAAGGGTTATAAACAACTTTAGAAATAAATGTATTGTAAACGAATATAGAAGAAAGTAAACGAACAAAAGAATGTATAAACTGAAAAGTAAGAAAAACAAGAATGGATACTACCAACTACTTGCAACTAGACGATCAATCTTTTTATAAGAATGGTACGAGAGATGTCGAACATAGGCAAACCAGTGGCGGTGCCATCGTCTCTTTTATTTATTAATCAAAAAGCACAAAACTGCTACATTTGCTGCTTTCGGTTGGATGCAGACAACACAGTCATTGTGGTGAACACAAAAACTCTCAGAGATTCTCCTAAAGTCTTTTGTTGTTGTGCTTATAAGAATCCACACAGTTCACTTAAATATCCATAAAAATCACATATAAAAAACGAGACTAATAAAAGTGGAAAGACACAGACCCGAATAGTCTTTTTTTTTTTATGGGGGGTTTGGGTTGAGATGAACAAAAAAACGATTCTTGAGTTGAGAATGCGACTCACCAAGCTTTCTTTAGTTTTAGATTCTCATATTCTCATTCTCTGGAATCTCATGAACCCACTTTTACTCTCCATTTTCTCTCCAAAAGAATATAATTCCGCGGTCATTTCCCGCTTCTTCTTGATTTATGTATCCAATCCTCTCTTGTTCGATTGAGCGAATCACAATCCCACGATGCAGCCCATGTGTTGAATTATGCTACCTATGGAAGATCAAACAGTTTAAAGTTAGTAAACAAGAACAAGAATCTGTCAAAGGGAAATGAACGTACAAGGAAGAACATTTGGTCTGTATCACTCTTTTTTTCTTTCAACGAGCAAAGCAAAGAAACAGGGGAAAGACTAACTTAGTAAGCACAGAGTAGTATAACATAAGTAATCACAATTTAACAGTTATAAAATAGGCGATAAGATATCATAAAAGGAGTTAAACTCTAGTTCTGCAAAAACATATGGCATCTGATATCATTAGCAGATATCATCAGCTCAAAACCTGGAACAGGCCCTGCTACAAAAAGCATACTCAAAATTTGAACTTTTCTGAAACTACATCTGATATAAAACAGAGAATTATCTATAAATATCTAGTAAAAGTAAAATTTAATCAAAAGAGTTCAACACAGATTTTGCTTGGTTTAATTTGCTTTTGATGGTATTCTAATCTTCATCAAATAGACTTTTAAACCTTGCAGCACATAATGTGATTATGTGAAACCTCTCTTTGTGGAAGCAAAATATAAATTTCACAAAGTCTAATATGAGATTACAAACCAAATTAACAGGTGAAGGATTTTGGCTTTAGTTTGCAAAAAGCAACGAAAGAGATGTAGAGATTCAGATGGTTTAACATTTTCATTTTGTTGTAAAACAGTAAACAAAAAGTATCACTCTGTTTAGTATGAATCTTATAACCCTTATGAATAATGCTGCTTTAAACCGATTCATTAACCAGGTCGATATAGTTGATCAGTGCTAAACAAATTTATCAGTATTGCTATGTTTGCGATTGCAGATTCTTAGATTCATTAAGATCAGTACAGCTGATTTGGGCCACAAAAACCCAACCAAACTTGTCTTGACGATATTAATCTTAATTCTTCATATGTATCTTCTTCCAACAACATCATCCTCAGCTGCCACTTGTGTTTTTGTAACGATGCTACTACAATTATATCATCTACCTCTCTTGCTGGGTGGGAACCCTTAACACGGATAAGTGGAGAAAGAAAGAAAAAAACTATTGTAGTTATAGATGAGGTTTCTTTTGTTCCCTGAGCACAAGAGTAAAAACTTTCAGACTAAATTGCAAATTGTATAAATCACAGGAAAAAAAGTAAAAATAATGATTGAGAAATATTCAGAGATAGAAAGTCTCAGCAAATAACAAGTTCAGGCCAGTAACTGATGAGTCTGAGAAGATAGGACCGGACCACTCAATCGTCCCCAAAACCTCCAATACACCGTCTATGCATCCTCTCACCATGGAAATCTCGGCATACCAAAGCTCCAAAATGTGTTGAGGACCTTGAGGCCGGGCTTCCCATAAGATGGCCATCCTCTCATTAGAGTGGATCAACATTTTGATGATATCAAAACCAGAGTGTTGCTGCTGCAGCTCTTCCAAACCATGCACTTCCTTCCAATCCAACTGAGATGGAAAACGCCATAGTATTTTCCCGCCGGTACCACGGCAGAAAATCGTGTCACCAACAGCAAAAAGCCAATTGCTTCTATTTTCTGGGTTAGACTCTCTTCTCCCGTCTGACTCAAACGCACATTCAGTTGCTGAGAAGTTAAATATTTGACCATCTTCATCCACCGCGTGAACATGCTTGTTGTTGTCCGTCACCACACTTTGTCGGATTTTGAGGGGCATCTTAGGCGTAAAGACAGACAAGAACTCCCAAGTATCGGTTTGGAGATCATATACCTCTACCCAGTTTGAGGAATCAGCGACATCCCAGCACCCTCCAAACACGTAAATCTTCTTCTCGTCTATCAAGCTTGCCGATGCTCCGCTTCGAGCCATCTTCATGGGCTTAAGGGGGCTCACAGTGTGATCGGTAAAGTCAAACAAAGTGACTTCCGATGT